CTACAGTGTATGGTGTTGGCAATTTTTTTTTGATATTTAATTTTGTGTCTTCCCATCCCAGTATGTCTAAATGCCCATCTCTGTGTGTATACAAAGTATCTAGCATTTTATTATAAAACACTCTTTGTGGGCTGGGGTTGTGGTAGGGCACCTGTGCAGCATGTGTGAGGCACTGGGTTCAATTCTCAGCAGCACATATAAACAAATAAATAAAGGTCCATCAATAACTAATAAAGTATTAAAAACAAAACAAAACAAAAAAACAGGCTTTGTGTTAAATGATTTTGCCCAACTATAGGTGAATGTAACTGTTGTGAATATGTTTGGGTAGGATAAGCTAACCTATGATGTTTGGTAGGGTAGGTGTATTAAATGCATTTTTGACTCACACTATTTTTGACTTAATGTTTACTGTGATATAAGCCTATAATAAACTGAGGAGCATCTGTATATGAAAATTTTAATGGAAAAGACTTTCCTCATCACACAGCAATACAGTAATCCTAATTCATTTAATCTTCCTTCTAAAAATCAGAGTATTAGCAACTGAAAAAAAGGAGGCTTAGATTAAAATCTGGCTTTATTTGTTCCAACACAAACTATATCTGAATTAATTCTTTTTGCTAAAAACATCTACCACCTTGATCAATGCTAATTTTATTTATTTAGCAATTTCTAATATATAGTTTCCTAATTAGCCACGCCACAAATATCTTTATCAATATGGAAATCAACCATTCAAAAATTGTCTGGCACTGCAAAAATCAAACAACACTGAACTGCAAACCATAATATTAATAATAATACATACTTAATAAGATAAAAGTGCCCGGTGTGGTGGTGCATGCCTATAATCCTGGCAGCTCAGGAGGCTGAGGCAGGAGGATCACGAGTTCAAAGCTAGCCACAGAAACTTAGTGAGGGGGCTGGGGTTTTGGCTCAGCAGTAGAGCATTTGCCTAGCACGTGCGAGGCCCTGGGTTCGATCCTCAGCACTACATATAAATAAGTGAAATAAAGGTAGTGTGTCTAACTACAACAACAACAACATTAAAAAAAAAAAAAAGAAAAAAGAAACTTAGTGAGGCCCTAAGCAACTCAGCGAGACCCCATCTCAAAAAAGATAAAAGCTTTTACAAGGAATAGATATTATACTATCACAAATACCCCAAATGGAGGTACAGTCCTTAAGGAGGGACAGAAATAGTTACTACACTGATGGTATGTGTTAGATCCTGTTAAAATTTTCATACATATTAAGCCAAGCAAACATAAGAAATAAAAACAATGATGATTCTGATGTTAGCCTACTATTTAATTTAGCGAAAGGAGTCTCAAAAAGAATAATACAGGGCTGGGATGTAGCTCTGTGAAGGAGCACTTGCCTACCATGCATCCCCGGGGTTTGATCCGCAGTACTGTCAAAAACAAACACACACACAACCAAAAAATAAAACTGCCTGTATAAATAATGCTGATCTTACAATCTGAATAGGATTAGGAAATTCATGGACCAAAGTTACTACTGCAGATTTTACCTATCCAAGAATTAAGTATAAAAGGAAATAAATATTTAAAATTTTTAATCTTGAAAAATGTTAAACTTATGTTAAAATCAAATATTAATACATTCCTCTAGACTCACCAAATGCTAACATCCTGCCATGCCTACTCCATTTTTCCATTTCTTTATTTCTCAAAATGCATACTAGTCTTTTCCTCAGATAAGTTACAAATTAATTGGACCATTTGAATATTTCAGAACCATTTCTTCAAAACAAAGACATTTTCCTATGTGGTTAACAAAACCATTACTACATTTAAGAAAATCAACAGCAATAATACCAATCAACATTTAGCCCACACTCAAAAGTTCCTCAGTGGTCCTTAAAATATTCTTTAGATTGTTTCTCAGACTCAAGATCCAATAACACATTGCATTTGGATGTTACCTCTCTTCAGGCTCCCAGTCTAAAACAGTTTTGCTGTCTTTCTTTGGGTTTTTCCTTTGACAAATCTCAGTAACTGTTTTGTAGAACATCCCATCATCTGAATACATTAGATTCTGTATTTTCAGCAAGAACACCATCAAGGTGATATACTCCTCCTTTCCCCATCAATTATCACATCAGGAGACACAAAATTCTTTTTTAAAAACATATATTTTTTTTAAGTTGTAGATGGACACACTATCTTTATTTTTATTTTTATGTGGTGCTGAGGATCGAACCCAGGTCCTCACACATGCAAGGCAAGCGCTCTAACACTCAGCTACAATCCCAGCCCAGGAGACACAAAATTCTTAACAAAATTATTTAACTAATGCAATGCTAAACTTGACCACTTGGTTAAGATGGTAACCACTAAAATCTAATAAAGGAACATTTCTCTCCCTTTGTAATTAGTAGGTAAGCAAAGAATTATACTTTAAGAACATTTTAATATCCTGTTCCAACACCTTTTACCCAATGATTTTAGCATCCACTGCTAATTTTTGTTTATTATTATACTGGAATTTACAAAATGGTGGTTATCTATACAGATTGAGTATCCCTTATCTAACATGCTTGGAACTAGAAGTGTTTTGAATTTCAGATTTTTTAAAATTTTGAATATTTGCATATAAATAATATCTTGAGGATGGGACCCAAGTCTAAATATGAAATTTGATTATGCATTCAGTTTAAAGGTAATTTTCAGATTTTGGAGCATTTCAGCTTAGGGATACTTAACCTGCACTAACACTCACTTATTAGAAAGCATTTTTCTGTTAAAAAAACAAAACAAGGGGCTGGGGATGTGGCTCAAGTGGTAGCGCGCTCGCCTGGCATACGTGCAGCCCAGGTTCGATCCTCAGCACTACATACAAAGATGTGTCCGCCGAAAACTAAAAAATAAATATTAAAAATTATCTCTCTCTTAAAAAAAAAAAAAAAAAGTCCAGGAATGCTTAACCATGAGCCATATCCCCAGCCCTTTTTATTTTAAGATAGGGTTGTGCTAGTTGCTTCGGGCTGAGATTATAGGTATGTACTACCACAGGTGTCTCTTTTTATTTTCAAGGGGTACTGGTTCCTTTTAATGGGAAATGGTATTTAGAAACCAGGAGCCGGTCTACGTATTCTCTGCTCTGGTGGCATTGCTTCCAGGCTTTCTATGAACAAAGCCAGAAAATAACTGTCTAAAAAAATGAGTTGAGACTCATACCTTTAATTCACATTCAACACCACAGAGTTCTTTCTCACCTTTTTCCTTTCCATTATTTGTATCTCCCTTCTCCACAGTAAAAATAGTTTCCCAACAACAATATTACTCATTTGCCCTATCCTATAATATAAATAAGTTGCTTAAGAATTAACAATAGCAATAACACTACCAATTATAGACCTAAGTTAAGATGTCATTCCATTTGTTCTTGAAATACATCCTAATGACTGTTAAGTTATTCAAATAAATTTTCTTCCCTCTGTGTGGTTATGTCATCAATTTGCTATATAGTTAGCATCTGTCATTTCTGTTTATATCCAGTTGTATTTTATTTTTTGGGGTACCGGGGATTGAACTCAGGGGCACTTGACCACTTAGTCACATCTCCAGCCCTATTTTGTATTTTATTTAGACAGGGCCTCACTGAGTTGCTTAGTACCTCGCTGTTGCTGAGGCTAGCTCTGAACTCAAAATCCTCCTGCCTCAGCCTCCAGAGGTGCTTGGGATTACAGGCATGTGCCATCACGGCCCAGCTTTATAACCAATTTTAGAGTTTGTTTTTTTCCCTCAATCTTTTTTGTGAATAAGTAAAACATTTACGTACACAAAAAGTCTATTTAAAAAAGTATAATCATAGGAAGAAATTAAGTTAATTTTAAGAAAACTCAGGAATGAGTTTTAAGAAAAACATGAAACTATATTTATGATTCTCTATGAATCTCTGTAAATAATTTCAGTGGAACTAAAAAGATAAATGACTAAAACTTGAGATTTGAATTTTTTTTCTTTTTTCATTACTGGGTATTGAACTCAGGGGGGCTCAACCACTGAGCCACATCCCCAACCCTATTTTGTACTTTATTTAGAGACAGGTCTCAAAGTTATTTATTTTATTTTTAAAAATATTTAATTGGCTTCATACATGACAGGCAATTGAGTCATTCTTTACTGTGGGAATTTCAACAAAGACATACTTAAAAATCATTCGCAGCCGTTTTTATTTTTTATGTTGAGACAGGGTCTTGCTGAGTTGCTGAAGCTGGCCTCAAACTGGCCTCCTGAGCCACTATGGGATTACACGTGGTGTGTACCAAAGTGTCCAGAGGCTTTTAATAATTATAAGCAGGGGGGCTGGGGATATAGCTCTGTTGTTAGAGTGCTTGCCTCGCATGTACAAGGCCCTGGGTTCAATCCTCAGCACCCCCCCCCCCCCCCCCCAAAAAAAACCCAAAAAACCAAAAAACCAACCCATGCCAGGCTTCCTATATATTCTCACTGCAGTTGCCCCTTACTCCCGGCAGAGCCTCACACGCTAGGCAAGTGCTCTTCCATTGAGGTAGACCCCCATCCCCTCTCATTAGTTTTATGTTTCAAAAACATTGTTACAAGAGAGCACTAAGCCCTCAAATATACCATGTGTGGGCATCTCTCACAGGTAGCTTTTAAAAGATATCCATACTTAATATCCCCTTTTGAAAAATTCAATCCATTTTAAAAAAATGTTCATCTTAAATGGATGTATGTATCTTATATGAATTTAAAATAAACTTTAAAGGAATCTGCTAATTGGATATATCCAGTTTTACAATGGGATTATTCTGAAAATTGACCTCCATGAAACCACTGATCACTGAAAAGACTAAGACTTTAAAAAATAATCACTATGTGTTTAACATCATGGAACAAAGTTACAAAAGAAACATCAAAACATTTTTAAAAGTTTGTGGTTAAGTTTTTTTATACCTTTGTGGTAAAGAAAAGGAAATTATGGGGGAAAAGAAAAGCATCACGTACCAACACCAACAGCACCAAACTGCTGCCCGACTAATGAACTTGGACTGAACTGACTGTATGTTGGCATCCTGCCAAAAGGTCCATAGGAACCCACTGACTGGAATGAAGAAGTAGATGAACCTAGTGAGGACTGAAAGAAAATTATGGGTTATTTTCCTAAGCAACATGAATATAACGGAGAGAAATTCAGTTCTTTAAAACTTTCAAGTATTAAATTATAACTACTAGTATAAAAGCAATTACCATGACTTATTTATTTAGTATTACAACAGCTGAACAACCTCCCTTAATATTTGTGTATTATGTACCAATTATACTCAATGGGAATTACAAACACTTTTTTCTACAAAAAAATCATCCTGTGATTTAAGAGTTTTACAGCAGATTTAGGAAAAAATAAATGAAAAGTGAGTAAGTAAAGTAACTTTGTTTAAGGAAAAATTGCATTCAGTAATACTGGATGTCAGTCTGTACTGAAAGAAGTAACACACCTCACTTGTGATTTTCCTTTTATTTTCAACCATTTGAGGACTACTATTAAATTCATAGGAATGACATGCAGAAACCAACATATCCCACACAAAACATTTTTATAGGTAATTATATTAAGTTGAGGAAGATTTTTTATATAAACCTTAACTTACCAAACCTACAATATATTTAATACATATATATTTTATTAATTTATTATAAAATATTCCATAATGTAAATATGAATGTACTGAAGGCTCCTGGATATAAGGTCATTTTTTAAAATTTCTAGTTGTAGATGGACATAATACTTTTATTTTATGTATTTATTTTTATGTGGTGCTGAGGATCGAACCCAGTGCCTCACACATACTAGGCGAGCACTCTACCACTGAGCCACAACCCCAGCCCAATATATAAGGTCATTTATGGGAAGATCTTTATCTTGTGTTCACTATTAATATCAACTGTAAGCTAGGTACTCAATAAGTACTGCTGAATGAATAAAATGAAGTTGAAGATTCTGATGGTTGGAAGAAGTTATTCAACACCATTTTGATTTGTGCTCTCTTCATTTTTCTCCCTCTCTAAAACTGATTAACTCAAATAACTGGTCACTACAGAATTATCAAAGATATATGTAGGGTTGGGGTTGTAGCTTGACTTGCAAGCCCTGGGTTCTATCCTCAGCACCACATAAAAATAAATAAATAAACATAAAGATATGTATCCATGGTACAACTAAAAAAATATTTAAAAAGGGGGGGGGGGGGGGGGGGGCTGTAGCTCAGTGGCAGAGCACTTGCCTAGCATGTGTGAGGCACTGGTTTGATCCTCACCAACACATATAAAATAAATTAATAAACAAAGATATTTTATGTCAGTCTACAACTAAAAAAATATTTTTAAAAAGATATATATGGGACAATAAATAAAATAACACCAGTCTTTAATGTGGGCAGCTATTTTGCAACACTTTTGCGAAACCTTGTAGGGAAAGGGAGCTTGCTATATGAAGATGACTTGTTTTCTATTTAAGACTTTATCTGTTAAACAAGCAAAAAAAGAAAATTTCTGGTTCATCATTCTGTATTCTTTATTCACTTTTTCCATTTATCTCTTTTGTCACATAAGCTGATTGTTAACTATTCATGGAACACTAAATAAATGCCTGTTTAATAAAGAAATTTGACCAAGGCTATAAATGCCAGTTATGTTATTTTCAGTATTGTTGGTTATATTTAACTTTTCCTTATAATAAAGCACACTTTTATAATAATTTAAAAAAAAAAAAAAGAAGAAAAGAATGTGTAGCGGGGGCAGGGGCTGGGGTTGTGGCTCAGCAGGAGTGCACTAGCCTAGCATGCGCAAGGCCCTGGAATTCTCAGAACCGCATACAAATAAGTAAACAAAATAAAGGTATTGTGTCCAACTAAAAAATAAATATTAAAAAAAAATGTGTAGTGGAGGTGAAGCATCTCCCATCTATCTGGTGACTTCTTGAAGTACAGAATTCACCAATTTATCCTTATGTACTCAAAGGGTTATGGTGGAATAGAACTTAATGCAAATAACCTTCTATTTTTTAACAGGAATTTAGAAAATACTTAATTTAGAATTATATAGAATTGTTTTCCTTAGGAACCAGAACTTTTTATTTGTATTTAAAGCACTGTTTATTCTTTCTAACAATTCTTACTCTTGCATATGAACAACTGCTAGACAAGAAAGGCAGGAAGAAAAAAGTGTCTGTGTCTTGGCTAGACAGGGAGGGTATCACATGGGAAGAGAAGACAGGAGGACTGCCAAGTTCTACACGCTATCAAAAAAGTTGGGGGTGTGGGGAGGTGTGGGTGTGTAGCTCAGTGGTAGAATGCCCTTGCATTAATCCCTAGTAAAACACACACACACACACACACACAGAGGAAAGAATGTATCTTTTCTTTCTCCACCTAAAAAATTTACATTTTTTGGAGATTACATAACACTTCTTGCCCTAAGAAGAAAACTTTAAAAGGGAGGAATAGATAAGACTGGAGAATTTTTCAGTTTATGCTACAAGAACACATTTTATTCAAGGGAAAAACAGTGAATAAATAAACAGTGAATAAAGAAAAAGGTCCTTTTCTCTCTTCATTTAAATATCATATTCAATTTTATATTTTCTGTAGAAGAGTTTATTAGATATTATCCTTTAATAGCTGGAAGTAAAAAAAAAAAAAACCAAACAACTGAACAAGTATATTTTATTAAAAAAAAATTTTTTTTAGTTGCAGTTGGAAATAATATCTTTATTTTATTTAATTGTTATGTGATGCTGAGGATCGAACCCAGCACCTTGCACATGCTAGGCGAGTGCTCTACCACTGAGCCACAAACCCAGCCCCTGAACAAGTATATTTTAAGTGACAAAAACTTAAGCAAGAAGAAAATGAATTCAGAAGAAAAATCATGGGAGAGCCACAACTTTTAATCAGCTATGCTCTCATATAAATGTTTTTTTAAATAAAAATAAGTAAACAAAATAAAAGTATTGTGTCCAACTAAAAAATAAATATTAAATATTCTTTTCTTATGGCCAAAATTCAGAAAGCTTTTGTTTTCAATGAACATGTAAACATATACTGTAATGGATAGCTTTAATTAATAATTGTTTACATATTGTATGCTTCTATTTTTAATAAAATATGCAAATTTCCAGTTTCTTTTTCTGAGAATACTAGAGTTGTTTTTTATTTTGGAAATTGAAGAACTTGTCTATGTTAAAAAATCCTTTTATGTTTATGCTATCTTATTATATACCATTGCACATCATACAATATATATTGTGACTTGGCATTTTCCTCCCATTAAACCTAATAATTTTTACTTAAGAGTAGCTATCATCACCCTAGTTTGTAATATAAACCATTATCTGAATAGTATAGTGTTATAGAGCCCTGGATTCTGGAGCCAAATTGCCTGGGTCTATTCAAATTATTCTTTCTCAACTTCCTTACTTCTAAAAGTAAGAAAAATTATGGATCAAACTCAGAGGGTACATGAGGACTGATTTTATGTACAGTGCTTGTGCTTTGAATAGAGTATCTTCTAGAGTTAGCTTTCAATAAATGTTAATCATTGTAACACTAGTCTTGTTTAAATTAAAAAAATATTTTATAGATTCTGCAGCTATTTCTTAGTTAGTCCAATTTACAATCCAAATAGAAAAATCTAGGTAAGAACATTATCTAGGTAATTTTGGGTATCCAGGCAACTTTGAAATGGTAAATTATACATTCAACTAGCAGAGGCAAATCAAGGGTTATATTATGCATGTGTGCAAAGTTTACTTGTATTCCAAGACAATTTATTATCAGTTACCTGAACAATAGCTGGGTCCTGAGGCAAAGAACATTGTGGTTTTGGTGGCTCACAAACGGTGAGATCTTTAATATCACTCCCACGGAATATAATATATTCAAAGACTTCATCTCGAGGTGGTATAGGACGATCTGTTGGTCTGTCTTCTGTACCAAAGGATCGAACTGTTGAGAAAATAAAGATATGAGATATGCTACTAGTCATCATATTCACACATTCAGGTAGGGCCTCTTATTACTGTTCCAAGTATTAAGCTGCAGTTTTGATGTATCATGTCAGAAGGTATTCACTGATTTGTAGATATCATTTTTTTTAAAGAGGACAACAGTGGGTTTTGCTTACGCTAAATGTACTTGATTTAAAAGATTATCAGAATTATGAGGTTGTGTTCTTCCTACGTTTATATTTACCTATATTTCTGGTAACTATGGAAAGGTATTTAAATGTCCTTCCTTGCACTGCTGATTTAATGTCCCCATTCAGCAAAATAATTATTTTCAAACTTATGTCATACTTCTTGATTAGGGAAGGGGTGGCAACAAAGATTTTTCCAGCCTACAAAGTCCTGTTTGATTTTTTTTTTTTTGAAGGTAACAATTACTTGGTTAGCAAAAAGTTCTCTAGAAGCTAGAATGAGCAACTGTCAAGTTATTCAGCCTCATGGGACAGCCTGAAACTCCAGAGTTACCTAAAATATCTACTGCATTATTAAGACATATTATTTTGAGCATTACTCAAAGTTAAACTGTGGACCACCTGCAACAGGGTAAACTGGCTGTAAATAAAGATTTTGACAAAATTAGACATTCTGGAGACAGAGTCCAGAAAAACGCATATTAAACCAACCCCCTGAGTCTCTAATGATTATTTAATTTTCAGGTTCACTGCCTTTAAGAATTCTGAAAAATGTATCCAAGCAGGTGCAGTGGCACATGCCTGTAATCCCAGCAACTCGGGAGGGCTGAGGCAGGAGCATTACTAGTTCCAGATCAGCCTTGGCAACTTAGTGAGACCCTGTCACAAAATAAAAAAACAAAAAGGACTGGATGTAGCTCAGCGGTAGAGCAGTTATCTATTACACGGAAGGCCCTGGGTTTAATCCCCAGTATTGCTCCCCTTCCCAAATCATTCAAATACAGACTGAATTAGTCCAATCTGGAAGACCAAGCCCAGAATCCACATGTAGCATACTCCCTGTCCACTCTAAGTCCGGAGAAATCTTCACTACTATTCCCTAACTTAGTAGAAGGGGACTGGGATGTAGGTGTCATAAGTGAAAAGGTGTTGAATGCCCCAGTAGAGCTCCCCTTCTCCTAATGGCCAAACAATCTTTAAGCAGTCAGGAGGAAGTGACAAGGAGGCTGAAGAAAAGTGGGCTAAGACAGTAACAAATAAATCTAATTCAGCCTCATTCTGGAGCAGAGAGAAAAATCAATGGCTCTTGTACAAAAATCACAGAGAAGTTCTATGAGGTCTTCTAAGGCCTAACCAAACCATTCAAACTATATCCAAGTAAATTCAGAATGAATTAGAAAAGAATCTGTATTCCATATTCAGGCAAGCAGCTTATATTGGAATGTGTAAGGAAAAAAATTATAAAGGGTATGGAATCGAGAAAATTTTTACAGAAAAGATAGATGAAAAGAAGCGGAGAAAAGAGAAGTAAAAGAAGCAATGAATAAGGAGTGAAGAAAAAAACAATAACAGAAATAAAACATGGTCTTCAAAGATACATGAAAAATATTCAGGACTAATATTTATAGCAGCAAAGTAACAGCACAATATATGCATCAAGAACAAGTAACAGGTTGGGCCTGGTGGTGCACACCTGAATCTTGGCTGCTTAGGTAGCTGAGGAAGGAGGATCACAAGTTCAAGGTCAGTCTAGGCAACTTATTGGGGAAAATAAAACAAGTCAATGCAGTAATATCAAGTCACTAAAAGAATAATTTGAAGAATAAGCAAAAAATGTGAAGAAAAAGTAAAAGGTAGTACAGTAATAAAAACAAGAGGTGATAGTTATGAAGATCCAAGAATTAACCAATGACCTAGTGACAACAGAATAAGAGAAAATATTAAAAACATAAGATATGGGGCTGAGAACGAAGCTCAGCAGTGGAGCACATATAATATGCTCAAGGCTCAGGGTTCAATCACCAGCACCCTGCACCATCCCCCCAAAATATAGGAAATGGGTAATAAACTCATTCACGCATGTAATTGTACATGATGATTTATTATGGCTCTAGAACAGAATGTAAATTTAGTAGTTACAGAAAGGGCTACAAAGTGTGACAAAATAATAATGCTATCACATAGCATTTTAACAAAAACTGGGAAATTAAAACACAAAAACCACAAGTCTATAAACATATACTTTATCATGTTAAATAGGGAGTCACTTGATTTAAAAAAAAATTTTTTTGATAGGGGCTGGGGATGTAGCTCAGTGGTAGAGCACATGCTCAGCATGCTGAAGGCCCTAGGTTTGCTCTCCAGCATATCCCTCCCCACAAAAGCTAGTAAATGGATTTGAAATTAAGGGTGTATTTCCCAAAACATCTTTGAAGAAAACCTTCCCAAGGCAGGCCCAGAAACTAGAATTTCTCTCCCCTCAAATAGGTCAGAGAGGGGCTGGGGTTGTGGCTCAGTGGTAGAGCACTCGCATAGCACGTGCGAGATGCTGGGTTCGATCCTTAGTACTACTTAAAAATAAATAAATAAAATAAAGGTATTGCACACAACTACAACTAAAAATAAATGAATGAATGAATGAATGAATAAATAAATAAATCCCTAATGTTCCCCTGCCCTTAATCCTTTTGACCTACCCTGTCTGAGACCTACCTCATTCCAGGGGGGTCCTGCCCTGAACACTGCTGCACTGAGAGGCTAAGCAGATTGTTGGAACCACAGACCTTGCTTGTTTTTCTCATCCAACCTACTGGCATCAGACAATACTCTTTTTGTTTAATCTCATTTTGATACAGCTGCCCATGCTTTAATCATGCCTATGCAATGAAGTCTCCATAAAACACCCCAAAGGACAAGGCTATAGAGCTTCTAGGTAGCTGAACACATGTAGGTTTTCCTAGAGGATGGTATATCTAGAGGGCATGAAAAGCTCCATGTCCCTTTTCCCATACTTTACCTATACATCTCTTTATCTGTCTTCTTTGTAACATCTGATATAATAAACCAATAGATGAGTTCTGTGGGCCACTCAAGCAAATTATCAAACCCAAGGAAGGAGTGGAAACCCCAATTTACAACTGGACAGAAGAAGCAAAGGTAAAACCTGGAGTTTGGGACTAAGCCCTTAAACTGTGAGTGCTATTTCCACAGAATTAAATAGTAGATAGTGTCAGAATTAAATTAAATCCAGCTTGTGTCTGCTTTTACAGAGCTGCTTGCTTGCTGGAAGGAAGAAAATCCCTAGGTTGTTAGGATCATGAAAGCCTTTTGTTGATTGTGGTGTAAAAGCAGAGGAAAAATAGAGCATGTGTTATTCCAAAAGACGTGGTAAAATCCAAAAATCTACAGTAGGCTGGTAACATTCCTTCTTGCTCACAGGAGGTCAGTCTTTGTTCTATTAAAGTTCTCCTCCACCTTTTAAGGTACAGGAGATTGAGCCCAGGGGTACTTAACCACTGAACAACATCTCTAGCCATTTTTATATTTTATTTAGAGACAGAGGCTTGGTAGGTTGCTTAGGGCCTTGCTTAGTTGCTGAGGCTGGATCCTCCTGCCTCAGCCTCCTGAGCAACTGAGATTATAGGTGTGGGACACAGCACCAGCTTGTTCTATTACAGCATTTAAGGGTTTAGTGGAGGCCCGTCAACATTTTATTTTGGGTAATCTAGTTACTCAAAACCTACACATTTAAACACTAATCTTATCCAAAAAATATCTTCTCAGAAATATGGAGAATGCCTGATCTGTCTTCTTTGTAACATCTGTTATAAGGCACTGTGGCCCACTGACACATAAAATTAAATATCATACAACTCTACCAAGTATGAAGTTATCTTTCTCCTCTGAAAATCATACTGCATTCTATCATTCTAGCTATACTTCCTCCTTCTAAAATTTAAAGATGCTCAGGAGAAAGATATGTATTTAAATCATCTTTGCAACTCCCACAGAATCTAACACAGTGCCCTACATATAGCAGACATCTGAATATTTCTTGAATAAATCCTAAAGTGGAAAGGTATTAAGTAAGCTATTTCCAAAAGTATTGAACAGTGTTTAATACAAAGGGAATTGGATTAAATTATACAATAAACCTACTTAGGATAAAATAAAAGAATGTGTTTTGAGCAAACTTCAGAAATAACAACTGCTTACATAGATGGTGCTGGCTGTTTAGGAGGAAGCCAGGATATGCAGGATGTTAGCAGGGTGTTAGTGGGGTTGGAAACTTGTTTGCTATATGTTTCAATTCTCTCTGCCACCCAATGAATCAAGAGGGGGATGCTTCAGCTGGGACTGTCATTGACCCCAGCTATATAAACATTAAAGAAAATTTATGTCTATGAAAAAATAGAATAATGAAGATGATTCAAACCAGAAAAAATACCTATTGCAGCATGTTCAGAGAGCATTAATCAATGTACAAGAATTAGGAGATGAAAAAAATTCAGATCATCACACAAATGCTTGAATTAATGGAAAATTGAGAAAGACAAATGGAGTTACATTTACAGTCTCTCCAAGATCATGCTGAAAGTGAATGAGCCTCAGCAGAAACAAAAATGGATTCTAGCCAGCCAGAAAGAGTTTCAAGAAGATCCCATAGGTAGAGAACCAGTGAAAGTCATGATTTATGTTACAGACAAATGGGATCAAGACTGTGATGATCAGTCACCTAAAGAAAGAAAATCCAAGTCAGCCAAGAAAAAGAAATGCTCTAAGGTCATGCAGGAAAGATAAGCCTCACCTACTGAATTTGCACTAGATCCCAATGACCTATACATCATTTATGTAACCACATTTCTTCGGGGGAAATGAGAGAACTTATAAAACAAAGAGGAAATGGTATTGCCCAAAGTGCAGGGGGAGATAATGAGAAAACAACAGACTAAAGTACTGAAAAGACACAAAAGGAGAGAAGATTGAGGTAGTGACGATCAATTCATATTTTCAAGGATTTATATGTCTT